GATCTCTACCAGGACTGTGTATTTCACCTTGTGCTTTCATAACACATATATTTCTCCAGCTACTCACACTTTGGCTTCAGAGATTATTCCTGCTTTGAATGGCTGTATTGTAAATGCCAGTGCTCCCTATGATGTTCCATGAGTGGAATAGCTCTTTATAGGATGGAAAATTCAGAAAACTACCTGAAAGGATGTTGAGATTTCAGAACCTTCTCCTGCATACTTCTTTTACCAGTTGCATATTTAGCAAAGGCTTTTTTGTTTTTTTCTTTTTTTCTTTTTTTTTAAAGATTTGTGGTAGAGCTAAAATCAAAATTGTTTTTGCTTTAAGAGTGAGCTTGAATCTCTAATGTGGAATTGTTATGTGATATTCTACCTAAAATTTAGTGTTATTAGTTTAGTATATTCTATCAGATAGACTAAATAGGTACTTAAATGACATGATTATTTGCCTTGAAGTTTTGTATCTACATACATTTTTAACATATAATAATTTTTAATATATAATGATATAAAAATCTAAAGTAAAGCTTTGCTTGTTAGTTTTAACTTCACAAGTTATTCACTTGTGAATAGAATTAGGACTACTGATTTTTGTATGACATGCTTTGCTTATAACTCAAAAGGACAATACATGTCTGTTTTAAGCTCTAACTACGATATACTGGTGCAGAAGCTTACTTTGGAAAAAGAATAGTAGTGTTGTAATGTTTTTTTCATGGGGGAGGTAAAAGCAACTTTGAAAATGGCTCTTCGGATATTTTTATCTGCTTACAGCATTTACGTACTATCTAACAATGTATAAAGTTTATTTTTATCTGCTTGCAGCATTTACGTACTATCTAACAATGTATAAAGTTTATAACTGTACATAAATACTCCAGTGATAAAAAAGAGGTAGTTCTAGTAACTAGTACTTAAAATATGTTTGAGTGTAGATAAAGCCAGATTTCTGTACTAACTCTGCTGTGTTTTAGTGCATACTAATACTAGTGCATACTACAAAGTGATGCGTTATGTGTACTGCTAAATGAAGTGTCAGCAGACTTGTATTTAGCCGTGTATTGATGTACATTTGTTCTTCCTTTCTATTCACTGAGGTAGCCTGTTCCAGCCCCAAATGATTCATCTCTTCTCAGTGATGATTCATAAGCAACATTAGGATTTTTGTGGCCTAAAGCTTCTGAATTCTTAAATAGCATTGCTCAGTCCCATTAAGAAATCTGAATGATTTTTGGTAATCTCAGTATTTTGTTTTAAATGCTAGGTGCAAGCAGTGCTCAACTCCAAAGACTATCAAGAGTCTAAGTACCCTTGCAGCAGAACAACGACCATCATGGGAACCAACTGAAATAGCACAAGGTTAGCTAACAGATTTATGTCCCAAAATATTTTTGTGCCTTGATTCATAAGTGTATATACAAAATAGTTCCATTTGGATGGATACAGCACCAGAAGTAAAAGTTTTAATTTTTGAAGTCGCAATTTAAAACGTGGAGTAAAGCAAATCTTATTTAACCACGAGCACTAGTTCGGCTTTTATCTTCTGTAAGCCTTATACAAAGCATACTACAAAGAATCTGAAAGAAGTAATATTTGAATAAAAGGCCTTATGCAAATGTTTTGCTTTGTGTGTTCCTTGTGTTACTTTAGTTAGTGTGTTCAATTGATGGAGGGAAGATGGAACTCAAAACTTTGGTACTAGTTTACATATTAAGGAAAAATAGATGATCTCTAGAGGTCCCTTCCAATCTGTGATTCCATTCTGTGATTTTTATCAAAAAAAGAAAACAAAACAAAAAAAAATCTGTATCTTCATCACATCATCTTTAAAATAAATAAATAAATAACGGTTTGTGGGCCAATTGCAGCACGCATTTAAACACAAATCAAAATGTGAACCACATTTTGATATCTTGTCTTAACCTATTAATTTATACTTTTAATTACAAGGTTTAAAGTTACCATTACAGGAGGGATATTGTCAGTTTCAGTTGTTATGGTTTGTTTTGTATATTCTGTATATGAAGCAATTGCTTTTTTTTCCTTCAGTTTTAGGTGTTGTGCCACTCCAGTATGTTTTTATTATGAAGTTTACTCTAGTTGATGGAACAGGAGCACTAAATGCATACCTTTTTGATTATGTAAGTGTACTAGATAAGGGGAGCTATTTGAATTTCATGGATTTGAGGTTTTACTCATTTTTAGAATAAAAAACATACCTACAGAAGTATTCATTCCGTACTACTTTCAGTGTTTTATAGGGGCAGAGGTAACTATTACAATGTTATTAGTACTGTCTTTTGGTGAAGAAGCAGAGAATGTCATTTTTATGATTTTTTTCAATAAAACACAAGAGTATAGCATATGAAAATGTAAAAGCAAAAAAAAATAATGAAGTTTATAGATCATTCTGTGTTTCTGTAGGCTTTTATATTTTTCTATGGCTGAATTTCTTTTTTGTTAGCTGCTATGCAAAGTTATGCAGCCTGAATGCTGTGTTTCGGATTTTGTCAGGGTTACTCCTGTATTAGTTCAAAATCTCATGACCTCTCTTACCTAAAATGAGAACCTGTGAGTTATCAGTAAATCATGCTTTTTGTTTCATATGACCTTTGAGGGTAGAAGGGCCTCTCTTCCCCTCATCCTAAGCAGGATGTATAGTTACACAGGTATTTGTCTTTGATTCAAAAGGTTTGTGTTACTTTGCAACCCTTATCCTCGATCTTCCCTGAAACAACTTAAGACCTTTCCTACTATCTGAGACACTAAAGAACATCTGATTTGCCTGTCACTGCACATGGTATAGTGTTCTTCTCTGCTTAAGAGTAAACAACTTAAAATTCTTCTTTCGTGAACAATGTTTTATAAACTCTCGTCATTCTCACCATTCTGGATTATCCTAAGGTGAACTATCCTATCCCAGATCTTCTATGAAGGGCTAAATCAGTACCCTCGCTTGAGGTATTGCCATGCAATGCTTCCATGTCTGTAGCTCAGTATGTTGTTGATTCAATTCTTTGCTTACTCTTGCATAATTTTTATAAACCCCTCATCTCTCAGAGTCTTTGTTTTAAGAAATTCTTCCTCATTCTTTACTTAAGCAGTTGATTAGGCTTGCTTGCATGCAGGATCTTATACACGTGTCTAGTGAAAAACATTCTTTTTTGTGCTAATACCTCTCCAGAATTAGCTCCCAATTCTTTCCTCCAGTACCTTAAAATGATCCAAGATTTGTTTTGTCTGTCACCATAGTAAGCCTATTGATTTTTAGATCAGACGTGTTGCTAATGAAAAGCACTAGACCTAGGACAGTCTGCAATCCCCTGCATAATCGCCTTCAGACATTCTCCCAGTTTACCACTAAACTACTGATAACTAGAAAGATACTATTTGTTTCTACTTCTCATAGTTTTATTATTTTTTTCATTTTACTCTTATTTAAAAACTTTCTATTAGCTTAGCAATCTACGCACAAAAATGATTTCTCTAAGAAATTGACAGAAGGTACTACACGGGATGCTACTTAAGTATCCAGCGGAGGGTAAAGGGTGAATAATATTCATTTACAGTATCAGTCTTAAGGAGTTTGCTCTCCTTCCTAATTCCGTTGCAGATTTTAGTGCATGATTATGGATCTTGAGCATACAAGTTGATCTCTGGCTTAATTTCTTAGTTTCCTGACTACAAAGGGAAATAATGTCATATTTCATGGTAAACTGAGGATGATTAAATGATTGTAAAGTGCTATATTAATGCAAAGTACTATTATTTATATATACATATACATGTTCAAATATACACAACACCAAATGTTTTGTGTGGATTAAGATCTTCATGTCAGTGGGAAAGATAACTTTGTTACTTTTGCTTCTTTATTTTTCCTTATTCTATGCCCTTTGCTTCATTCTTTTGCTCCTTCAAATATATTTTTGGATGCAGAAATATGATATGTCCTTTAGGTTATTTACACACACACTCACACACACACACTTCAATTGTTATCCTAACTTTTGAGTTGGTACATTTACCATCTTGCAAAGAAAAATCAAGGTGAGAAAAATGATAGAATTATAACATAAACTAGTATTATATTGCAACTATGTCATGTCATGATATAAGTGCATTTGTTCTGTTTTCTTGTTCCAGCAATTTACAGCTGGGAATATCAGAATCTCAGAACATAAAATTGAGTAATACATCTATTCAAGGTTGAAATAAACCAGTGTAGTGGGACTTCAGAGTTAAAATTTTCTCCAAAATGGGCAGAGTAACAATTTTTGTTGTTGTTGTTGTTTTCTGCACTGTCACTGTGTAATGGTAATATGTGCATATTTTCATCGTTATACGACATTATACTAAATGACTTTGGAGAAGAAGACACTGTTTTTCCTGGTTTTAGTTTTACCACTTAATAATAACGGAAAACATACAACTGCATTTTTTTGTTTTCCTTTGCTCTTTGTTTTTCTTTTTTCTTTTTCTTTTTTTTCTTAATAAACCACAGAGTGTAAGCAGCAAAGGAATACCAAGTCTGTGATCCCTACTTCAGCTAGTCATTTTATTCTTCTGTACCTTCTCTTTTTATGCAAAAAAATTAAATCATAAAAAAAGAGGAGCGGGAAAAGATGTTAAATCTTGATTCAGAATTTCAGAAATTTGTATTTCAGAGTAGCCCTCATTCCTATCAGACACTACTCATGTCTTTAGCTGAGCTGCAGGAAAAAGGAAAATAAAATAAAGAAAAAAGTCTTTTGAAGTGTCAGTTGCCAGCATTTCTGCTGGTGGTGCTTCAAAGACAGGCCAGTGCTTTCCAAGCCTAAGCTCAGGTCCGTAGCACCACCTCAGAAGGAACTGGGGTGCCTTGAAGTGTGACTTTAGCTTCTGGTCACACTTTTATAAGAATGCTCCCAGTTTCTTTTGTTTCATTTCTTTATGAAGTCACTGAAGGGAAAAATTGAAAAGTTACGTAGTTAGAAATGGGTGAATAACAATTTGAGAAGTCAGAAAAAAAAAGTTACATGTCTCTTGCTGTTGGATTATCCTTTAACTTTTGATCATATCCATTAAATTATATGAAAGGCAGATTATTCTACACTGTTTTTTTTTTTAGCAAAAAGGAGAAATTGCCATCAAAGACTATAATTTAGCTGTTTAATGCAGTAATATTGAGAGACTGACCTTCTTTTGGGAAATAAAAAAAAATTTAGTTAACAAATTTGAAGGAAAAAAAAAGGGAGTTTTGCCAGTCTTTTTATTATATACACTAAACTACTGGAAATGTGTATATAACATTTCCTTACTCTAGTCTTTATTTTGCCCTTCCATTCAGAAGTGTATCTTAAAGTCAAAGCCTTTCTCCATAGTTTCTAAAACTATCAAAAAAAAAAAGAAAAAAGAAAAACCAAGTGCACTTGCATGAAACAAGGTTCCAGTGATCCCTTGTTATTGAATGACATTGTTCCTTAAGTGTTTTGGTCACTCCAGTAAGGGACTGCTGAGGAGGACTGACCAGCTCGCTTTCACCATAGCATTGCCTGAATATGGAGGTTTATGAGCAATATCTGCCAGTGATATATAGAGACCTGGATGTGCAGATGTTTTCGTAGCATCCTGTGCTTTTTGGTTAACTGTAGCCCCTGAATACTCACGGATGCTGAAATACAGATTAGTAATTTATTCAGGTGTTACTTTTTTTTTTTAATCTCTGTGATTTTTTAAAAATGATATTTGTTCTGTTAAATATCTGAAATATATTTAGGTTTCTTAAATGATAAGAGCATATGCATTCAGTGTTCTGGCTAGTGATTTCTTACTCTTCCTCTACCACCTCAGACATTTTTTGTTCTCTTCCAGGAAAAGTTTTTCCAAATTCCTGCCTCTGAAATCTTAACTAGCGATTTTCTTCAACAGAAGATGCAGATGACCATGAATACACTCTGTCCTCCAGGAAGAAAACTAGGTTAGTTTGTCATAATTCTGGGTCTTCCAGTCTGATAGTACATGTGCAAAGTCTTAGAGTTCAGCTTATGCATGGTAAAACTCAGAACTAAAAAATGCATCAGTCTGTATGGGGGTTCTGGTTAATTAATTTTCATACATTTCTGTAGTAGTAAAAGTCCCTTTTGAGAAAATTAATGGTTCAGCAAATTCTCTCGTAGCATGCAGTGATGTGCGAATGCAGTTGTGTCTAGGCCGGCACTAACATGTCATTTGTATTCATGTGAAGGTTAACTAGAACACCTCTGTCCTGACCCTTCAGAGCACATTAGTGAAAACTGAAAGGGAATTCAGCTTATGCCCCATGCTTTGGGTAACATTCCTCTGTTGAGTGCACATACTGCTTTGGAGCACCCCATGTGACAGGAAACATCCTTGGAAAGTGAGCAAAAAGTTTCCATTTAAATCCAGTCATAAAGGTTTTCCTGCAGTATTTCTGCTATGGTAGCTCTGCCTACGCCACACACCTCCAGGATTATGTCTCTGCCACAGCTCTGGCTTCAGGAGTGGAATATCTCATAGCACATGGCTATCATTGACCCACCCATACCAGGATTTTTATCCTATTTTCAGAAAATGATGCATAAAATAAATTATAAATCTTTGTTTATCAATTTTTCCTCTCTCCCTTATATTCACCCAACATGGAGCTTTCAGTGAAGTCAGTTGGAGCCCAGGGATAATTTACTGAAGAGCAGAATTTGATGTGATTCTTCATTCTAGCTCAGTTTCTGCCTTGCTTATTTGCAGGTGATTTGATCCTAGTTGGATTCAGCTTAATCAGAACCACCTCTTTTAGAGTGGAGGAGTATTTTAATCCCTGTCTTATCTCTAAGACTAAGGAGAATGCAGTTTCCCAGAATTACTGCACCTGAGCCTGGGATAGCACAAGTGCACAAATATTAAATTTTCACATAATAAACATACACTTCTCAGTCCATGTTCTTGTACCAATCTTCTGTCTCCCTGTGTGTGACGTTTTAGTACATTTATGACACCACAAATACATAGTTTCATTAAGGGATGAAACAGAGATGGGATGAAGCTTGCTAAAAGAAGATGATAAAGTTGTATGGAGACAGTATTTGACAGGCAACAGATTCCTTAAAAAAAAATTGACATTCTGAAATAATGAACACTTCTGAAGATCAGAAGCCTCCAGCCACCATAACGGAGTGACTGGGAGGGTTTCTCACCATCAGTTTAGTTCAATGGGTATGCAGGATCACTTAAATTTAATATTGACTTTTGTATGCCTGCATACAAATCTTCTCCACTTCCAATTCCAAACTGTACAATACAGCATTGTGGGGGAACATCTGAGAGCTTTTTGTTTGTTTAATAATTAGAGCAAATTTTCTCCATCTGATAAATGACAGGATATTTTGACATCCACAGTAACCTATTTAATGACTTTAGCCATTCATAGCTCAATATTGGGCACACACTTTTAGGACAAAAGCCTTTCAAAAGCCTTACTTGTTGAGGTGGATATTTTATGTAGCTTTTTAGAGATGAGATGGGGGAATGCGCTCAGGATTAAGTTAACACAAAAGTTACCTGTACAAACAGGTTTGTTGCATTTACACAATATACATATTGTGTATATGAGCATGTCATTGAGACCAGTTTTATTATTAGAAAGTCCTTGTGTGTGCTATATTGTGAAACAGCTACTGGTACCAAGTTTTGAGGTTGTTTGGAAAGTTAATTGTCATTGAACATAATTTCAAATAGCGCAGGAAAATTATAAAATACAAATTAGAATGCTAGTTCTCAATTTTAACTTCAAAATGAGTAATTCATTTTTTTTCCAGTTAACTGCTGTGAATGTTCAGATTACCCAGCTAAGATCTCCCTCATGTTCTACTTCTGTCATATAAAAATTAAAATTATGTACTAAAAAATAAATTGGTTTTGTTTATAGATGACTTGCCATGGCTGGAATGTTTCATCAAGTCCTATAACGTCACAGATGGAATGAAGCATCAAGTTTATTACCAGATTTTTGATACTACAGTTGCTGAGGATGTTGTATAGTAATGTCCAGTTGCATAGAGACTGCATTAAAAAAAAAAAAGGCATTCTGTTTTTCAGAATTCAAGGATTCATTTGTATGTTAAAATGAATAGGAATTACACTTCAGAGTGTTTGCGACGTGCCTGGCATGCAGGCTTGTGAGCTGAATGAAGGGGAAGTGGTCACCTTGTCGTTGGAAGCTGCGTGGCTCAGGCTGGTGGAAGTAGCTGAGTATTCATATCTTATCCAGGTTACTCTGAACTGCTGAGAAGGTTACTCTGCACTGAATCTGTAGTTGGAATATTTTTGATTTGTTGCTTTTTCTGTTAAAATAAATGAATTGTGCAGAATTGGGCCAGAGGAGCTCTTGAGTAAACTTTTAACGCTAGCTTGTGTAAACATATGTTACTGTTCTCAGCCATTTTGAGAGCAATGCTGCCATTTTTAGAAATGTTAAGCTGTCCCAAAACAGGATCATGCTTATTAACTGAATCTGTGTTTTCAGAGACTGTCATATACTTCTCTAAATTTACTGTGAGATTGTACTGCCCAGGCCTGTGTCTTATGTCTTGCATAATCAGATTACACTACTAAATTTGGAGATAGCAAACTAATCTAGTGATACCATGACTTGAAAATGCTACTAGAGTAGAAACTCTGTGGTTTCACTTTGTACTCAGATGTATTTTACACAAATTCAAGGCATGTTTCTTTAATGATAGTTAATGTAGATATTCCTGTCAAGTCAAATTCTTTTCAGAGCAAAAACACTTAATATTTACAACAACTGTTTTTTAATGGGAATTAAGAAGCCAAGAGTAGATGAGATTTTATTTTTTTATTTTTTCAGGATTGTACAGTAAAGTATGCAATTTCTTCTTGAAAATTCAGATAACCTTTCAGAGCTCTAAAAAAATTTTTGCACTAATTGTAAATGTCATAAACCTGGAGATTGTGTTCCGTATTGGTCAGTGTATAGGTAGAACCATTATTAAAAGTGTTTCTTTTCCAAAGCAGCGGAAAACTAAACTTCAGAGTGGAACAAGCAGTTTATGAAGGAGTAGCGTTGACTAATGAAAGCCTTCCTGAATCTGAATATCTACTTAAGAGAACAGCAGTGAATAAGACAATAACACTGATGGATTATTTCAAAGCATTAGACACTGGAGATATCCAAATGATTTCATAAATTAAGGTCTTTGGGGGAAAAAGTTTTTGTTTTTTTAACCGCGATAGGAGATAGTGTACCTTTTTCTAAATAAATCTTTGAGAAATAATGGATTAAAATATTTTGAAATGCAGTGTAAGTGTAATTGGTTCTACCATGTCTCATGTCTGAGATTCGTGCCATAACACTCTGAAGGCGTTTTATATTTGCATATACATCACTTGAGTTTTCTACTGTTGAGTATTGTAAGTATTTAATAAAGATTTTTTTCCAAATAATGAATTTTTTGTTATTTGACTTTAAGTTCTCAATTCATAAGACTGTGAAAACTTTTTTACAAATAGCTTTCATCCAACAGAATACTTCAAATATTTGAATAATTTGTTGTGTTAAAACATGTCTGCTTAACTCTCTTAAAGTACAGAATCACAGAATACAATACAGAATAAAATACAGAATCACAGAATAGTTGAGGTTGGAAGGGTCTTCTAGAAATCATCTAGTCCAGCCCCGCTGCTCAAGCAGGGACACCCAGGAGCATAATGTGTAGAAATAATTTTAATTCATAATGGAAAATGATGTATTTAACAATACTAAAGATCATGGAGATCCAAATGGTTTTGTGCAGTTTTCAGAACTGTGGAGAAGTCCAAGTGTGTCTTCCTTTTGCCTCATCACCTTTCTCCATCCTCACATATCATGGCATGCAGGGCAACTGCCTCACAAATCTGTTTTTTGATGGATTTGTAGAGTAAATGACATACTTGCATGAAATGAGAAGCACACAACAGCATCACCATAGGAAAGAATCTCATTGTAAAGTTTGAGAAAATGATAAAAATATAAATGAACCATAAGGAAACATGAATCCATCACAGGGAGAAAAAAAAAGCGATTGCCTATTGCACGGGGATAGTGCATAGGCAATGTAACACTTTTCAGTGTTCGATCTTCAAAGAGGCTTCTGAAAAAGACAAAACAAATGTGGAATCATATTTTCAGAAATGTCTCTATGATTGGCCTCCTGAAGTTCTTGTTTTAAAGTTGTTCAAACCCTTAGGAGTGGAAGTCTTTTCAAAGTCACTTGAATTTAAGCTCTTGGGTGCCTAACACTCTTGAATTCCAGATGGAAGGAGAAAAGGTATGTGAGTAACCTGTATTTCAGAATCAAAGAAGCACTCCTTGTAGGTGGTCTGCTGTTTAGTGGATGATTGCTCTTTTTCATCAGCTTTTAGTGTTGCAGGAACCAGAGGTTTACAGAGAAGACTCTGGAATGCTTTGCTTGATACCGATGCTTTGGCTACTGAGCAGCAGGAACTGGAATTGAAGACAGGGGAGCCCAGGCTGACAGGCTGACATTTGCAGCAGCGGGAGAAGAGTATGGTGTGTTAGCAGAGATGAACCTTCAGCTCATCAGGTCTTGATGGACTTACTCATGCAAAGCCACTTTTTGGTCAGAGCCACTACATTTGTATGTGGAACTGGCATAAATTGGGAAATGCAAATGCGTATGTTTAAGCTTTTCAGATGGACAGAAAGGAATGGATGCACTGCAGAATATTTTCTTTAGGAGAAGAAAAAAGAAATTTGAAAAAAGCATTGCTTGAAATGTAATGAGCAAAGAACTGGGAACAGGGAAGCTCAAGAGATGGACAAGAGAAGGAAAGAACAGATTTTGAGGTTGCTACAGTGTGCTGTTCTTTCTGCTTTCTAAAAAAAAAAAAAAAAAAAACAGACATCTTTTCAGATATTCATCATTTAACTTCATAAACTCAGCAAATTGAAATTCTAGGAATACCTCTCTGTTTAGATACTTAAACAAAAAGATTGAATAATTGCAAGTAAACTAGGAAGTTTGCTCCCTGGTGGAAATGTGTAATCTGAGGAGAGAAAAAAAAAGATTTCTTGGGGCCTTAATACTATTCTATTTCATTCAAAATTCTGAGCATAAATTTATTCTCCTGCGTGGATATGGTATGTGGACTGCTGATGAATGAAATGCAGCTTTGTGAAGCACAAGCTACATCCTCGCAATCCAGGCCACGTTTAATTCTAATTTTGCAAGACTGGCTAGGAGGTAGCTCTGAATTATGGAGGTGTTATTTCACTGAAAGGGATTATCTGAATGATGGCAATTTAGAAATGCTGCTTGAGTTTTTTGACTAGAAGAGCAGCAAAATTGAGCAATGAAATCTGCTGATAGAACAGATAACTACAGTTTTTACATCTTTCTGTCAACAAATGACCCCTTAAATGACTCAAAGCCCCC